AAAAAAAAAAAAATCAAAAGGTTTTTTTTTTCTTATGCTAAAAAAAATAAACATATGCGACTCAATATGGTTATATAAATGAATTCACACAAATTATTTATTGTTGCTTTTGTGGTGATGCCGATAGTTAGTTAAATCTTTTCTGCAAAAAAAAATACGTATTACATCATTTGCTGTTGGAATATTCAATTAGATTTGAATTATCTTTGATGATGAGACTGCTGCTTTAGCCCAAATTTTTTTCAACTTCTTTTCTCTTTTTTATTTGAAGTTTCAAGTTTTTTTTTGTTAAGAGATGATTTATTCTGTAATAGAAAAAACATTTTTTTTTTCTTATAAGCAAATACTTATTATGCAGATAGATCACTATTGGTATAAGTAGCAGAAATAAATAAATAAATAACTAAAAGACAGGTTGCCGAACAAACTCATTTTTGATCTGTTCCGATAATATACCGCGAACGGACGAAAAAAAAAAAAGTAGCAAAACGAGAGCAAAAAACAAATTTGCCTAATTTTATTGCTGCAACTTTAAAAGTACAAATTAAATAATCTAAAAAAAAACCGAAACAAGCATATTTATTAAAATTAAACAAAGAAAATTTTGCTAAAAACTGTTGAAAATTTCTTCAAAATTTTGAAGAAAAAAAAGAAATGCAAATCTGTAATAAAATTGGGCATTAAACAAAGTAATATAACAATAAATTTTTTTTTTTTTTGTTGTGTGATACCATCAGCAGTTTTATATTTGCAAAAACACTAATTAACTGTTCAAAAAAGAAATAAATTAGTTTTTTTGGTTATTTTTTTTCCTTTTATTTTGAAATTTTTTTGATTACCATAATTTATGGTTTTTTAATTCAACAGTAAAGCAAAAATTGCAATAAGTCTGACTGATTTTTGATGACAGCTAAAAACTGTTGTTGTTGATTTCAAATTTGAAAATAAAGACCCGGTAATTGAAGTAAGTTTATTCTATTGTTCAAATAAATGGTTTCTTATTGTTTTCTTTTTTTCAATATTTCTTAAGTTGTAAAAAAAAAAACAATTTTTTTTTTCTATTTTCTTACTGCATTTTAGAACTATTAATCAAAAACAGAAACAAAAAAACTCAGAAAGTAAAGGTCAATTTAACAAAAAAAGACAAGAGTTGAAGTTTTTGAAGTTTTTGACATTTAAAAACTGTAAGTAGTTTTAAAAGATACCACTCTCTTTAGAATAAAGTTTTGCGGTGGCTAAAATAACTGTACACTGCAACTGTTGACTTTCTAAACTGAAAACAAAAAACTTCCAAGTGTATCAATTTACTAAAAAAAAAAACAGGAAAACAGGAAAACAGTATAATGGAACAGACACGCGAACCCAATGTCACCACTGAGCTTCTGTAGAAACACGGAAACAACTGTTCGTTAAACAGATGTAATAAGTGACTGTTGCTTTCCCAGAATCACCCTTCCTGTTTCAGATGTCTAGTAACTGGTTCTACAAAAAATAAAAAACCTCTTCTCTTGTGTTGTGGTATCTTAATGTTCTTCCGGTGAGTTGTAAATTGACATACCGACACCGAGACTTATCACCTGCACATCTGAAGGTTTTGAAGCGCGACTGCGCGTATTACTCTGTTCAACAAACCAACAACTTTTTGCTTTTTTTCACTGTAATCATTGAAAGTTTTTTGTACAAAGTTAATGAATAAAGGTGCTCAAAAAAAAATTGTAACATCAGACATCAATTTTTCAGGAAGAAATAATAGAGGAAAAAAGTGTTTTTTTTGATACTTTTTGAAACTGATAGTTTTTGAAATATTTTTGGGGATATTTTAAGTAGCAACAAAAAGAGATACAGTTATAAACCACAAAAAATAATAATAATAATTGTTCTGCTTAACTTAAAAAGAAAAAATTGAGTAATTTCTTCATTTTTTTTGTTCTTAAACAAACCACATAACTTTTTGTTTTAATTTTTGTTTTTCTTCTTCTTCTTGTTGTTTTTTTTTGCAGTAATTAATTTTCAAACTCAAACAACAGATTACAAAGAAAGGAAAAAAAGAAACTATTTTAGTTAAATACAAATAATTAAGACAGCTAAATTTTTCTTTTTATACAAAAATTAATGACATTTACAAAAAAAGCAAAAAGAAGGAAAAAAAAACAGTTTTTGTTTCTGAAGAAATAAGGTGTGCAATTAGTATTATTATTGAAATAGTGGGTT